TGCGTCCTCACTGCCAAGATCTGCGACGGCGTCCCCGACTGCGCGGATCACAGCGATGAGACGCACTGCACTATGGTACGTACGCACGCACAAAGACACGTGTTACACGTATTGAGTACGCACATCACGCATGGTACGTGCTCGTGCGTGTAACACAATACTAGTTTCTACAGAACGCATACATCAATCTCTTATCACGAAAACATTACGTTCTCATAAATATAATACCAAACATTCATGATAGAACCTCTGTTTCACTGTTCTGTGGTTGTGTACGTTCAACAATAATTCTGTGCTATTCATCATGTCACTGTTCTGCTTATCTCTGAAAGTAGTATATTCGATCTATGTAAATACGTGTGTGCTGTGTAACACATACACAAACTGTGTAACACTCTATCAAGTATCTCTAAGTAGAAGAGTTTAACAGGAGTGTTCATTTGTTTTTATGTAATTGCCTAGCTTTTTAATTGACTCAATTTTATTTTTTAATGCCATGACTCCGTCTGCGTGGCATTAAAAAACAAAAGTAAGTACCTTATGTGTTCTTGCCAAATTTAATCGAGAACCGTTCACCAGTTTAGGCTACAAACTCTAACAAACATCCATCTATCTAAAATTTCGCATTTATAATATTAGTAAGATTATTACTCACTTTCAAAAGAAGGAGGTTCTTATATACATCTCTGTTTGTTTTTGTAATATTTTTGTTGTCCTGTTTGTGTAAGAAGTGTGTCAATGTCGTGCAGAAGGCGAGCAAGCCGTCGGGCGCGTGTCCGGGCGACCAGTTCGAGTGTGACGAGGGCACGCGGTGCGTGTGGCGCGGCGCGCTCTGCGACGCGCGGCAGGACTGCTACGACGGCTCCGACGAGACCAACTGCTCCAGCCATGACCACAATTACCATGTAATTATAACCTTTTCTTATAACTTATAGGCCAAATAAGTGTAATAGTGTTTTAAGGAAATAAAATCGTTCAAAATTTATGTCAATATTCAGTAACTTCAAAAGAAACAAGAACACCAGACAGCGTGAATGTAACATCACGCTGTCTGGTGTTCCTCACGGCGTTATTGGCATTGTTCTTTTCATAGTACAGAATTTAGCCCATTTTAAAAACACAATATACACGATTTAATTGTATTTCTTACTTAAAAATAATATGTTTTTCAATAAATTTCATTACTTTCACGAATTATATTATCAAAACACAATCATATTGTGAACTGCGTAATTCTAGCGAAGTTCCTAGTCGAAATGTATGAGAATCTGAAAATAAATGTGTGTTTCAGTATGTAAGCCTGGGCGTGGACCAGTCTTCGATCAACTCGACCAGTTTCCTGGTGTCGTGCTGGCTGGCGCAGCAGCAGCGAGTCATGTACAGCTTCCTGCCCTCTATCGCTAACGTCAGCGACGGCATCTGGCGCAACATGACATGGACCACTGACAGCGTATACCGGTACATTAATAATTATCATAATTATGGCCTGTCCCACCAAATTATAAATTTTCTGCTAACAATCCAACGTGTAAAATATGCGATGGAAATATCGGATTTGTTCCCTTATCTGACAGTGTCGTTAATTTTAAGCTATCTGAGTATCTATCAGTCAATGGTGGGACAAACCCTAAGTATCATATTTAGACCAGATATCATAATTACCAGCTCACCAAATATCCCCTAAGTTAGAGGTGGCCTAGTTACTCCTAGCTTAGGTTAAGCTCCGAGGACTCCAAGGTGATGAGATGTATGTAGTTCAAAATGTAATTTTGTTCATACCATGAGAGTATTTGAGGAGTAAAAGTAAATATGCTTTAGTTTATATTTCATTTTTAAATTTGTATTACTAAATTTTGATTTGTTAAGTAAGCCACAACTTGGTATGCCTAGATTGGAAATAGCAAAAAAAGTGGGAAGTGTATATTCTTTTGTAAACCTAATATTTCCCGCAGTTTTGTAACGCTATGAAGTTCAGCACTCGGAAGAAATGGTTTTAAACGATTTTTTCCGGACATACATGTTTAGTCGAGGTTTTTTGTTTTTGAAATCAATGTTTGATTGAATAAAAACTATTATCACTAGGAAATATTTTATTTGTAATAATAATGGTCGTTTACAGATTCACAGGCTTGGAGCCGTACACGAACTACAATGTGACGTTCTACATCAGAGACAGCAAGTCCAACAACACATACCCCGCTATGAAGTATGTCAATACTACTACTGGGGAAGGAGGTAAATCACTTTTAAAGTTATTTTTATCACTAACTAGCTGTTGCTCACAACTTTGTCCACTCAAAATTTAGAAATAGTTGCCTTTGTTATTCAGCGATGACGGTGAAAGAATTTTTAAAATCGCCCTAGTATTTTTTGATTTTATACTAAAATACGAATCTCTCCTCTTTATAATATTAGTATAGACTACAGGTATCCTTTACTGTATATTTAATTTGAAAATTTTATACTAAGCCACTCTTGCTAACCCATAAATAATTTAATACCTCAGTTAAACATAACATTACTACAAAAGAAAATTATTACTAAAGAATTAAATAATTCTGAAACTGGTGTATATCCATATCCAAATCTGTGTGGGATCGGCGTATCTAATAGTTTTAAAACTTGATAATGTATGAAAGGAAAGAGACAAGTTTAACTTCACTTCGCGATTTACTTGGGATCTGAACAACCACTAAGATGTGACGACTACTTTTAATAAATAATGTAAAGTAAATGCTAGTTTAGATAACTTTGTTATGTCATTAATATCATAAATGTGAAAATAACGTATTTATGTTTGTAATGCAAACGGTTGAGCAGATCTCAATAAAATTTAGGTTAGATGTAGGATATTTTTGAAAAACACAAAGCCTATTTACATTTTTTTTAAATCTACGCGGCCAGTGTTGCTGGCGAAAGTAATATGTAACATTCAGTTCATTCATTCATTAGTTCATACATTCATTCATTTCTGTGCAGTGCCGTCTCCTCCGCTGCGAGTGAGCGTGCGCCAGATGATCGGCAGCCGCGTGAACGTGATCTGGGACCCGCCGGCGCGGCCGCGCGGCCAGCTGCGCCGCTACACGCTGCACTACGCGCCGCCGCTGCCGCCCGCGCACAAGGTGCTCTTCGTCACCCACCACGAGCCCGTCAGCCTCACCGTCCGGGGATACTTCAAGCCTAATACTAATTATTCATTCTGGGTAAGTAGTTAAATTTTGTTTGAGAAAAAATAAAATATACTACAAGTCACGCCATCTATGTGTGAACTTATGAAATTATATTCACTTCGTTCGAAATTGAAAAACGACTCCCAAAAAACTTCAAGTCTAAAAATAATTTTGAAAAATAGTTAAAAGCAGTTTCGTCTAAGATTTTTTAAAATTTACGGTAAAATTTTAATTACAATACAATTTTGTCATCTGTCGGGTTATTATGAGGTAAAATATACTTTTAAAGTTATTTTTAACATTAACCAGCTGTTCTCGCGACTTCGTCAACGTGAAATTTAAAACCTATAAAGGGCGCTTAAAAAGAAAATTGTTTGAATTAATATTCGGCCCTTTTAACTTTACAAAATTATCATCAAAATATACGTGTTTACATATTTTATCAGGTAACGGCAACAAACAACGCGTACACATCGAATTCATCAGAGGTGATGTATTTGACATTCGACGAGATGGGTGACGTGGACGATCTGAAGAACATTACCGTGACGCGGCTCGCCAACAATACTGTCTTCGTGCGTTGGGACAAAATCCGCAGTGTGGATGGTTATATCGTCAGTATTCAGCTGCCATTGCTGTATTCACACCTCGAGCCTGTGCAGACCAAGGACAATAATGTTACACGTATGTATACCATAGACTAGTAGTCGGAAAAGTCCGGAACCCCCATGTGATTTTTTACTTAAATGCAACTCTGGATTATTGACAATTTTCAAGGAGATGTACACACAATCGCATTAATAATTAACTGTGATATTTGGTTTTGTTTTGTATACTTTTTATGTAATTAAATTTTACTAAACAAGCGGATTAGGCTCTTATCTTTTTAAAATTGCAATGGTTTACTTTTTGACTTATAAGTTTGCCGACAACTGTCATAGACTATGATGCTGGCATAGAGTAAATGTGTACACCATAGAGTATGTATAGAACATAATTGAAGCTTAAACCAGAATATCATTTTGGACGTGTAAATGACGAGTGATTGTAACGAGTAAATTCAAAAACTTGATCCGAATTCAAAAATTATTTTCTTACTACAACCTTTATTATTACCAAATAACATAGGCTACATGTTTTATTTACAGTGAAAAACCTACCACCCGGCGTCAAAATCTTCATCCACGTGATGGCGTACAAGGGTTCGATGATCGGAGAGCCTGTCACAGAGGTGGTTGTCACGGAAGGGGAGCGAGACGAGATGCTGAACATGACAGCAATATTACTAAAAGAGAAGAGGACCGCAGTACTCCTGAGCTGGTCCCCTCCCCTGGCTGACAGGTACAAGGACAAGGAACTGCAGTACGAAGTGATATACACTGATGCAGCGCATTGGAGGATACCCACTGACTTGAAGGAGGGTCATGGTATGTTGTACTGATTTATAGTATAAACTGAGCGGATAAATAAAAAACCCTCGTCTTGTGGAAAAATATCTAACTAATTTTGTGTACATTACAAAATGACATAGTAAAAGTGATTGAGGTCGCTCCAGACCAGGATTTTTTATTACATTTGGGTATACATATAAAAAATCATATTGCGTTTTTGTAAATAATGTATTTGTAATCATTGAGAAATATTTAAACTTTTGTTTACAAATATTAATGTTTGAGTATATTGTTTCAAAGTTGATAAATTTTAATTAAGCCCGATATAATTTTATTAATTTGTGAATACAACTATACAATATGTTTACAGAGAAGAAAATAATAACAAAGAATACGAGCATAGTTATCGACGGGTTACACGCTTGTGAGACATATGTGTTCACGGTTAGTCTGCTCGGGGGACCCGTCGCCAAGTACAAGGAAATTGTTACCAGAGAAAATCCCAAGTGAGTTATACCCTTTGTTCGTATATTTGCAAATAAAGAGTGTATTTTTGAACGTAATTCGATTGTGATTTTCTTTCAGAGCACCTATTAAGGACTTGGACTACGAATACATCAAAGAGAAGTCAGAGTTAAAGATCAAATGGCACATAAATTGTAATGCGCTTAGTGAAGCTGTACCTTATAGGGTAAAGTATTTAATTTGTTCGTTTATATACTTATTGATACATAATTTAGTAATTCATTTTTGTTGGTTCCAAAACTCACACGAATCTCAACTATTTTAACGGTTTAAAATTGTTTTTGCAGCTTGAAATAACGGAATTAACACACAACAAAGTAAGCCGGTATGCGCTCAACGCGACGCGCAACTCCACCCTACAGCATGTCATTGAACACGTTCCAGTCGGCGGCAGATTCAATATTTGTGTTGCTGTAAGTAATTTCTACAAAACACCTTTCTAATAAAAATAGCAATTTTTATGTAGAACGTGGTAAAATGTATGTTATTAAATGCTATTTTTAATTATCAGGCGCACGTAGAAGACGCGTCCAAGCGTTGTATCGAGGTGCGCACGGGGGCGCTGCCGGCGCCGCGCGGCCTTGTCGCCTGGCTCGCACCCAACGGACACCTTGTGCTCAACTGGCAACATGTTGAAGGACCTGATACACCTAAGTATGAAAAATTTATTGTTTTGTTTGTAACATCAATGGTTATAGCACCAAAAATTATTTACTACTAGCTTTCGCACGCGATTCCGTCCGCGTGGAATTGAAAAAAAAAAATACAAAAGTGAGTAGCCCATGTGTTCTTCAAGACTATCCCCTACATCAATACCAAGTTTTATCGAAATTCGTTCAACTGTTTAGGCTACAAACTCAAACATCCATCCATCATCGACTTGGTAAAGTGTAACTACAGTATCTAGCGCTTAAGTTAGCACACCATGTATATTGTTCTTGCTTTTGTTCCCAAATGTTAATTTAATGGGTAAAAGTTTGAGTTGGTACGTTGGTTTTAAAAGAACTGATATTCTATACGTGCCTAATCAAATATCGGCAATGTTTGCAGGCACAAGTACCAGATCATAGTGTCGGAGAAGGAGATCCCGGAGGACCTGGTGCAGCCGGAGGCGGGCATGCGCGTGGAGGAGGCGGAGCGCTCGCCGCTGCTGCTGGCGGTGGCGGCGGCGGCGCAGCGCCCGCTCTACGTCAGCGTGCGCGCCGTCACACACGACGGATACTACAGCGAGCTCAGCGAGGTCAACACCCTCACTATGGAAGGTACGACCTAACAATAGTATCACTTGAGCTGAGGTACGGTACTTCTTGTGGATTTGACAGTGGAGGAGACGCATAGGAAGGGGAAATATCCTTTTTATGTGCATCTACTCCGTCAATTAAGGTCAGGCAACGCATCTGTAATTGTGGATGTTTATGGGCAGCGGTCGCTTTCCATTTCGGTGGATTCAGGTGGACGGTTGCTCGTTTGCTACCTTATATTATATAAATAAAATTGCTTTAAAATCGTGGGATTTTAAAGCAATTGCCAAACGTAAATCTCGCTACTTAAAAGAAAGTCTCAAAATGTTCTATTTGTTAGTGGTTAATGAAATAACCTTTTTCTATACTGATA